TGATAAAGTTAAAGGTGGTTCTGGGTACCTAGACACTGTGGTCCCTGCTGGCACCAGGTTGGCACTCTGACCATAGTGCTGCCTCCTTGGAGTGATGAGGAATGAGCCCTCCCCACGTCTTCCCATAGTTCCGCAGGGAACCTCTCTCAGGAGTAACAGCCCAAGCCTTGGCTCTCCAACTTTCAAGTTCAGCTGAGAATTAAGAATATTTAAGGCCTTGTCCAGGTCTGGAACTACTTTTCTTTAAAAAGTATTGCAGGAATAAGGGCTTTTGGAATATTTGTATATGTACTATTTTTGTTTCCAAGTGACAATAGACAGTTTCCTAGTTTTATCAAACCAACTGGCCTTCCATCAGATGGCGTTACTTATTGGGGCCGAACTATGTGGATCACTTGCATTCTCTAGCTTTTTCCTCATTTAAAAAATACTAAAAATGACTTTCTTCAGCTCTTTGAAAATGATATCTCTGTGAACACGGTACCATAATGGAGACTGTGTCATTTGCACAATGAACCAGGAAGCATCCAGGCTGCCTTCACGGTGCTTGCCCCACATGGCTGCTCCCTTGCAACCTTCATGCACATGGACAGCAAGAATGTTGTTCTACATCTCAGAATCCATGATTCGATCAAAGCAAGGCATAAATGTAGACTATTCAGAACACAAGCCAAGAGCGTTGAGGAAAAACTTCTCACATCTATCTGCAAGTTGTATTCCTCAGAAATATACTTCACTGGCACAGAAGCGTCCTCATCTTCAAGCCACAAAGAGACTGCCAACAATCCTCACTTGAGTCTTCTTCTGGTAAAAATTCAAAGAATTGTATCGTACGAGAAAGCTGTTTCTGTAAGTCATCAACATATGACCCCATAGAATGTTCTCACTAGCTTTCCCTGGGAAGTTATAATTCTGTAGAGAAATACGAAAAGCTTCTCTCTGAATAAAATCTACATAGAAACTATGTAGCCAGTTAATTCTGGATTGTAGTTACAACCAGATGCCAAGTTCCTTGTTCAGCCTTTACTGCTTATGATCAGTAGTTCAGAATGTGTCCTCTTTTGAAGCCATACAAACCGCAGAGCCTTCAGAATGGGCAGAATGTCTGCGCTGGCAGCCTCGGGGTTAATTGTGCACTCTGAAGGGAGGATGCCAGGAACAAACCACCAACACGCTTCTTGCCACACCTGAGGTTTTCTCTGTGGGATTTCCATCCTAGTGTTGACACAACTCGACTCTGGATAGACTCGAAGGTTTGTTGGGACTATGGCCAAAGTGCTAATAGAGAGTGGAACCTCCTCCACGCCCCTCCTCCACGCCCCTCCTCCACGCCCCTCCTCCATGCCCCTGCCAGTGGGACCGCCTCCATGCTAGAGTGACTTGGGACTGCCTCTTTCCCTGATGGAAAGAAAACAAGTACTTTATGACTTTCCCAAATCAGTGCTAATGGTGAAGGCTTCCAAACCAAAAGCCTTTAATTATTGTCATTCATTGTAGTGCCCTGAACTCTTTCCTGCGAGAAAGCTTGGTTTGAAACTGAGTTGAAAGCTACTGCCCATGAATAGGTCACGTAGCCTGGTTGAGGCTAGGATGCAGGCTGCAGACACAGCATCAGGCTGAACTTGCTGAACTTCCTGGAAGCAACTGCACTAATGCAGCGCCCCCTTCCCAGCTGAGTGAACAGGCAGTCCAGAGTGTAGGAGTCCAGACCCCACACAGGAAACCGACTTGTCTTGGGACTGACACTTAGCAAGAGCTGCCTGTTCCTCTCTTGGTAGTAACTCACTGGGTAAGAACTGATGACATTTTTAAAAAGGGCTGTCTTTAGGATGTCGGGTGTTTCTTGGTGGTCTCACATACTTCAGTGCTTGCCAGTGGGTGCACACACAATAAGGAAATAATGCTTATAAAAAGAACATTGTAAGGTTAGTGAAGATCGTTTCCCATTTTGTACGCTGCTGTTTCGTCTTATTGAACATGTCGTTTGCTTTACAGAAGGTTTTCAGTTTCAGGAGGTCTCATTTGTTAATTGTTTCTCTCAGTGTCTGTGCTACTGGGGTTTACATTTAGGAAGTCATCTCCTGTGTCAATGCATTCAAGTGTACTTCCCACTTTCTCTTCTATAAGGCTCAATGTGGCTGGCTATATGTTGAGGTCTTTGATCTATTTGGATCAATTTGAGTTTAGTACACGGTGATAAACATGGATCTATTTTCATTCTTCTACATGTTGATATCCAGTTATGCCAGTAGCATTCGTTAAATATGCTTTCTCTTTTCCATTTTATATTTTTTGCTTCTTTGTCAAAAATCAGGTGTTGGTAGGTGTGATCTCTAAAATATACAAAGAATGCAAGAAATTAGTTGTCAAAAGAACAAATAGTCCAATAAAAAATGGGTACAGACCTAAGCAGAGAACTCTCAACAAAGGAATCTAGAATGGCTGAAAGACACTTAAGAAAATGTTCAATATCCTTAGCCATCAGAGAAATCAAGATCAAAAGAACTCTGAAATCTTGCACCTGAAGAATGGCCAAGATCAAAACACTGATGACAACTTAGGCTGGAGAGGATGTGGGGTAAAGGGAACACTCCTGCATTGCTGCTGGGAGTGCAAACTGGTACAGCCAGCCCCTTTGGATATCAGTATGGCCATTTCTCAGAAAATTAGGAAACAACCTTCCTCAAGACCCAGCAATATCACTTTTGGGTATATACTCAAAGGATACTCAATCTTACTACAAGGACATGTACTCAACTATGTTCATAGCAGCATTGTTTGTTATAGCCAGAACCTGGAAACAATCTAAATGCCCCTTGACCGAAGAATGGATAAAGAAAATGTGGTACATTTACACAATGGAATACTACACAGCAGAAAAAATGACATCTTGAAATTTATAGGCAAGATGGATCTAGAAAACATCATATTGAGTGAGGTAGCTCAGACACAGAAAGACAAATATCAGTGTACTCACTCATAAGTGGCTTTTAGACATAAAGCAAAGAAAACCAGCCTACAAACCACAATCCCAGAGAACTTAGACAACAATGAGGACACTAAGAGAGACTTACATAGTTCTAATCTACATGGAAGTAGAAAAAGACAAGATCTCCTGAGTAAATTGGGAGCATGGGGACCATGGGGGAGGGTAAAGGAAAGGGGGAAGGAAAGGAGGGGAGCAGAGAAAAAAATATAGCTCGATAAAATCAATTTAAAAATTAAAAAAGAACATCATGGGAAAAGCCTGCCATCATTGTTCAGTCTGATCAGCCTTCTTTGGCTGCTTTTGTCTATAGCTGGACAATTAGTCTAATGCCAGTGTGGAGCGTCGCTGAGCTGAGGAGAGAATACAGGAAGATTTACATTGACAGGACATCAGAAGAAGGCTGCTAGGGACCTGGGGTGACACATCAGGTCTCAGTCTGGATATAATAACCTGATCTGGTAAATCTTCTCGCACGTCTGTCGGGTCCTCGTAGACCTGTGGAGTGAAACCTGCCACCTTGGGGCTACAAAATGTGAGGTTAACACCAACCATTTAACAGTTTGCTCTTAGAAAGAAGAGAAATCTGTGAGAGGTTCTAGAAAACCGAGACCCTGTAATGGATGCTTCTGTTTGCTTTGTCTACGTTGGCCTCTTTAGCCATCATCTCCTGTCCGTGTGAGGCCAGGAAGCAGGTTTAGTAGGTGAACAGAAGTGTTCTTAGAAACTGAGGGGTGGGATGTCTTTTAGTGGGATAGCCCGAGCATGTGCAAGACTGAAGTTCAGTCTCCAGCATCAGAAAAGATTTACTCATTAGTATATGGGTAGGTAATTAATTATCTAGCACCATGTTTCTCTTAAGCAATTTCTCTTATCTAGAAAAAAAAAAACTTTACTTCCAAATATCTCTCTCCCGTGCAATGATATCCTTCAAAGCCCCGGGAACTGGGTCTCCGTCCTGAAATACACTCCCCAGCATAGAAAGTCTCATTTTATGGTGAACTTTCTGGATGTAGCAAAGGCTTTTTCCCTAAGAGGAATAAGTGTGGGCTGGAGGAGGCTTATTGAGTCGTTTCTTTGGGAAGGATCTGGTGCTGATAAACTTTATCTGAGTCTGTACCGGTTACTACTGGACCCTGAGTGACCTGAGACAGGGAAAGTGAATGGCTTCCTTAGATTCCTGGGCAGCTTGTCGTTTTCCTCTGAAATAGAAGGAGCAATACAGTCTACCCCTAGCTGGCTGGCTTGTGTAGGCGTAGTCTTGATGGCGTTCGCATGAACAGCTGCTGACAAGACTGTAGTAGGTACGGATGGGAGGGCTGCTCATTGCTCACACTTCCTCCCTAGGGGTACAGCCAAGCGACAGTCGCATGCCAATCCTCATACCTTACTGAGCATAGCACCAGCTTTCCAGGCTCTTCCCTTTCCTTATTTCTGCAAACTGGGGGATGTCTGTCAGTCAAACCTACACCCAGTCTCTGATTTCCTGAACCCTCACAAGTGCTTCTTTGCTACTGATTGTCCATTTTCTCAGGAACAATCTATTATGAAATGCCTATTTTTCACCCAAGCAAGGAAAAAAGAGTGCCTAAGTACAAAACAAGTGGCTTTGAAAGCATTAGACGAATAACAGAAGACAAGAAGAAGCTGGCTTAGAACCACAGACAGCATCACATAACCGGAGTAGAAGAACAGAGCGTGGGGGGTCATGAGTGGTGGTTAGCAGAACAAGCCTTTCCCCAGGTTAATAGTGCAGAAAACGTGGCTGGTGCACCCCTTCCCCCTCCTCCAGTTTCAAAGATTGAACCTAGGACTTCATGCGTACTGCTCAAGCATCCTGCCTCTGAGCTATATTCCCCAGCCAGGTTAATGTGCTCTTAAAATATTTAAAGCAACTAATGGCACAACATGGAATTCGATTAAAAAATAACATGAATCTATTGATTGTGATAATGGACATAAAGATTAAGTGGTGCAATTAAAAGGGGTTTTCAGACAGAATCTGTGGTTACAGGTGAATCGGTGAGTGGCTGAAAACCAAGCTACTCTAAGGATAAAGTGTGAGCTGAGGACGGCGGTGGCAGCTACTTAGGAGGTGAGTCATCAGCAGCCCTTGACTGGATACACAGCACAATGGGTTTAGTAAACCCAACAGATACCAAGTGCATGCGGTGAGCCAGTCACTTGGAGATGCCGAGGACACAGTGATGAAAGTTAGTTCTTTTTTTTTTTTTTTTTTTTTTTCTTTATTTATTTATTTATTAAATATTTCAGTCTCTTCCCCACCTCCGCCTCCCCTTTCCCTCCCCCTCCCCAAATACGTTCCCCCTCCCTCTTCAGCCCAAAGAGCAATCAGGGCTCTCCGTGAAAGTTAGTTCTTTGAGGACTTCCAAAATGCATTTTGATCATCTATTTATATCTCTATCTCTATATCTATCTATCTATCTATCTATCTATCTATCTATCTATCCATATCCATTTCCTTTTCTACCAAATTCCATATTCTTACCACCCACCCCAGTTTCTTCAGATGAACCTATTAAGGACAAAACCAGGCAAGGACAGTATGGGAGTGGGCTCAGAACAATACAGGTACAATATTTATAAATTGCTTTCCTTTAAGTATATGGTTGATGGAGGAAGGTCATTGGCTAATAAAAAAACTGCCTTGGCCCATTTGATAGGCCAGCCTTTAGGTGGGTGGAGTAAACAGAATAGAATGCTGGGAGGAAGAGGAAGTGAGCTCAGATGCCAGGCCGCTGCTCTCCAGGGAAGACGTGATGAAGCAAGCCAGGTCAGACATGCTGAATCTTTCCTGGTAAGACTGGTGCTACACAGATTATTAGAGAGGGGTTAAAGCAAGATATGAGAGTTAGCCAGAATAGGCCAGATATAATGGGCCAGGCAGTGTTTATATGAATACAGTTTGTGTGTTGTTATTTTGGGGCATAAGCTAACCAGGCAGCCGGGAGCTCAGTGGCAGGAAGCGGCCTGCAGCTCCCTTCAACATATGGTATTGAAATCACTAATAGAAACACAGGAGGAAATATAATGATCTTTCTGCCTTTTCTCCTTAATACTTTATATTTAGTCATTGAGAACTAATAAGCATAAATAAATATAAAAAGTGCTATAGCAACTCTTAGTAGTTTTGACTAATTGGCTTTTATGTGTGTGGTATATACAGTGTCTGTACGCTGCAAAGAGAAAGGTGTTTTGCTGGGATTTGTGAGTATCCTGTAAGAGTCCCTTCCCTGCTAAGTCTCTCTCCTCCCTCTTGTTCTCCCTCTCCCCCTAACACACACACACCTCTGTCATTAGTTTATATGCTGGTTGGACTTCCTCAGAACGTGGATTGTCTCAGCTGACTGGAGGGAAAGAACAGAGTACTTAGGAAAAGGAAATAGTCTACAAAGACCTCGTGGAAGCCAAATGTTACTTACTGCTATTCACAGTAGAGTGGCTTTGGTCCTCTACCCAGAATTCCAGGATCCTCTATGCTTAAGCCTCTGCTTCTTTTATATTTTCAGAGATGCAGTGGTTTGGGTATGAGTTGGATGCCCTCCTCCCAGATTGGTTCAAGGGCTGGAAGCCTGACTTCCAGTGTGGTGGCGTTGTAGTGGTAGAGCCTGTAAGAGGTGAAGCCTTCTAGACATAGTGGTCCATACCTGCAATCCAAGCACCCCCAGGCTCCAATCCCAGCACCCCACAAGCTACAATCCCAGCACCCCACAAACTACAATCCCAGCACCCCACAAACTACAATTCCAGCACCCCACAAACTACAATCCCAGCACCCCACAGGCTTCAATCCCAGCACCCCACAAACTACAATCCCAGCATCCCACAAACTACAATCCCAGCACCCCACAGGCTACAATCCCAGCACCCCACAGGCTACAATCCCAGCACCCCACAGGCTACAATCCCAGCACCCCACAGGCTACATCAGGAATATTATGAACATGAGGTCAGTATAGGCTACACAAACAAAAAAGCCCCCCCCCCCAAGCAAACAAGGTGAAACCTAGTGGAAGGTGAGTGGTTGCCTAATTTGGAAGGGCTTAATGAAGTTCTTGTGTTAATTCCAGTTCTTCAAGAACAAATTGTTATAAAAAGAACAAGCTAAGTCCTGATTCTGAATCTTTCATGTTCTAGCTTTCTGAGTTGTAGTGATGAGTCGAGCAGGCCTGCCTTTTGTCCTGCCCAGCTCCCGCATGGCTAGCTTTACACCCAAAATAACAACACGGAAATTTTATTCATTTAAACACTGCCTTGTCCATTAGCTCTAGCCTCTTCTTGGCTAACTCTCACATCTTAATTAACCCATTTCTATTAATGTGTATCGCCACTTGACTGTGGCTTACTGACATGAGTCTAACCACCATTCGTCTTGGGTAGGAGAAGCATGGTGTTTGCCTGACTCTGCTTTCTTTCCCCAAGTCTTCTGTTCAGTATACTCCACCTATCTAAGCTGCTGTCCTATCAACAGGCCAAGGCAGGTTTTTTTTTATTAACCAATGAAAGTAACACATAGACAGAAGCCCCTCCTACATCATTTGAGAACAGGAGAATGCTAGGAAGGAGGAAGCACATTCTTCCCCCACTCCTGCCCAGACTCCAAAGAAGCAACATGTGATCTGCCCTTCTGTGAAAGGTACTGAGCCACATGGCTAACATAGATCAGAATAATGGGTTAATATAAGTGATAAGAGCTAATAAGAAACCTGAGCTAATGGACCAATCATTTTATAACTTATGGAGATCTCTGTGTGATTTTCTTTGGGGTTTGCCAGCTGTGGGGTACTGGGAAGGATGGAAACACCAACAAGCTGGCTCTCCATATTACACTGAGTGACCTCTCACATGCTGAACTACTAAGATACCACAATGTGATGAAGCCAGAAGCCAGCGCCATATTCTCAGACCTTTAGACTAAACAAATACCCATTTTGTCTTTGGTCATTTTCCAGCCTCAAATTTTTGTTACAATAGAAACGAACTGCATTGGTGGTCTCATTGTGGCAGTAATGGTGTCATGTCACGTCTAGTGTGGATGTGAGGTAGAAGTAGGAATTTATCTCATTTCCGGCGGTCTGGATCAGCTGCTGTGGTTTCCCTTGGGGAAGCATCTCCTTGATTCCCATTCCATATGAGGGCATAGGCGGTCCTGGGTTTAGAAGCTCACGATGAAACTGCTTCCCTTGGAAGAATCCAATGCCCACACAACTGCAGAGAGGGCACCCTGTGTCTTGCCATTGACTGTTTGGCCTAATCCTCCTAATTTGAACATATTGTGTATTTTTGTTTGTGGCTCAAATGATTCAATCCTGCAACTGAATAGAGAGACAGATGCATGTTCCCAAACAAGCTGTGGCTGAGTCTCAGCCATGCTCTGCCAACACACAGTGGTCGCTGATCAACAACAGGCACATGGTTCTGGTGTCGGATGGCCATGTGTGGCAAGAAAACAGGCACTAATGAGGACCTTTTTCAGTCTGAATCTGAAACCTCACCCATATAAACAGATGGTTTGATAGATATCTGGGGACTGTGTCTTTACATTCATGGTGGCTTCTTTAAATTGTTGAACTGAATTCTTCTTACAAATAAAATAATGGCCTCCAAGTTTATCTTCTCCCTGGAATTTACTAAGTACTCTTACATATTTTATGCCCGGTGATATGTAGCCATGTCTTCCAGTCAAACTTTATGCACCCTAAGCTTTATATTCTTCATAAATATTTTAGCCCAAATAAACTAAATTTCAAGTGTTACATTTTCCTCCCAAGACTGAAAATATAGGGGGCTGGAGAGATGGCTCAGTGGTTAAGAGCATTGCCTGCTCTTCCAAAGGTCCTGAGTTCAATTCCCAGCAACCACGTGGTAGCTCACAACCATCTATCTGTAATGAGGTCTGGTCCCCTCTTCTGGCCTGCAGACATATACACAGACAGAATGTTGTGTGCATAATAAATAAATAAATATTTTTTAAAAAAAAGACTGAAAATATAGCTATTGTTAATCATTTCTGATTTTATTAGCATCCTCTAAATATCATAAACAAGATTAAGAATATAAATCTTGGTTTAGATTTTTTTAAAAATAACTTTAGTTTTTGAGATCTTTTCAAAAATTTCAGAAAATATTTGGGAAGATTGTTCATTGTATCTGAAAATTTAATCTTCCATTGTGTATCTGTACTTACTTTATTCCCTTTATGTATTTTTCATTTCTTCACTGTCTAATCTGTCACCTGGTCACACCTCGTGTCACTTGGGCATTCATATGCATGTGCTTTCTCCCACGGATGCAACCACCGCAGACCAGGAGTGTAGTTAGACCTACTGTAGGCTCCACAGTCAACACAGGTGTTCTTTCATTTCTGCTAGTATTTCTCCAGCAATATGGCATATCAGTGACCACTATAGTATGTATGCTACATTTAAAATAATCCCGAAATGGTTGAAAGTGTACAAGAAGGCCAATGCGAGATGCCAGCAGTGAAAGGTGCTTGCTACCCAGGACCCACATGGGGGCAGGAGAGAACCACTTCCGACAAGTTGTCCACTGAACTACAAGTGTGGTATGACATTATCATTCGTGTGCACACGCACACACACACATGCATGCACACACACAAATGTAACACGAAATTTAAAAGGAAGTATATAGGAGAACATGATACATTATATGCAAATACTATACTATTTTATAGAAGATCTGAGTGCCCCCAGATTGGGTGTCCTGAGTGGGGTGTGGTGGGGGTGGGGAGGAGCTGATAGCTAGCAATGGCTGTACTTCATGTTCCTCTTTTATTCTCCAGCTAGAAATGCTCGCTTCGAGTCTGAAGTTAAACACCCCTGCAGGGAAGGAGACAATCAGGAAAATTACACTAGGTTATATGAATACCCAATTAGGTTCATAAGTTTTGGGGTCTCTAAAAAGGATTGAGTCTTAGTAGGTAACTTGCCCACTAATAGCATAACTCAGTGTGAAGTGCTTCAAAACGTGCAAGATCGTCTTAAGTTTATTCTCATTAGCAGGAAGATGAATAAGAAAATCAAGTTTTAGAAAATTTTAATTTCCCCAAGGATTGTGGGTATCTTTGTTGTTGTTTGGTGGTTAGGTATGTTTTTAAGAATCAGCATTAAAAGACACTTCAAACAACAGGTTCTGATGCCCCAACCACCATTTCACACTTCCACATCCTCAAGAATGCAGTGGCTTTTCTCTTGGTGCTCCTTGCCAACTGTTTCCTCTCCAAAGGGGGCATCCAGACCTGATACTGAAGCAACAATTCCTTTCCGAGCTCCATTCGACATCTGCTTTAGTTAAAAACTCTGTGAGAGTTTTGGAATCGTTTAGGACAATTACAATAAACGAGCCAAACTCACTCAATTTCTGGGTGCTAGCTCACCGGGAATTAAATCTGCTAATCCTGCAGACAGGCTCACTACCCTGAACTCTGGTGAGCACTGAGCTATCAAATACTCATTGCCTTGGGGGAGTCTGTTGACGATTTATTTACTTACTTATTCTACCACAGTGTATTTAATCACAGGCGTGCTCTCCTCAGGTCTGGTACCTGAGTACCACTGGCTTCTGAGCTTATTCTACCACAGCATAGTTCATCGTAGGCGCTCTCTCCTCAGGTCTGGTACCCTGATGTCACTGGCCTCTGAGTTTATTCTGTTTGCAGATGACAACTGTTCCTTTCCCATTTCTTCCACTTCCTCCCCAGATAAGGTCTTAGGGAATGACAATGCTTTGGTGTCTCCCCACCCATGTTCATCCCTTGTGTAGATGACTTGTTTAGGTGATCTTCTCTTACTAATATCAGTGGGTGCCAAACAGGTGAACACTACTGTGCAAGGAACTGAAAGATAGTTTTGGCTTTAATGTAAAGGTGATTTCTTTCCTGTGAATTTTATCCTTAGGAAAGTTTAAAATGAACATACGCATAAAAAGACAAAAAATAAAAAACAAAAAACAACAAAAAAAACTATGTGTTAGTAGTACACAAGCAAGAAAAGACAAGGGCCCTGGAAAGGGTGAGTGACATCTCAGGGACCAGGAGATTAGATAGGCGAATTCTTCACAGGAAAACATCCAGGTCAAGTATCAAGTGTCTTTTATACTAAAAGTCAGCTGTGCACTCATGTAAAGTAAATGCACGCACTAATCTCTGCATGGCAGGTGTTTTCAGGGTCTGCCCTTATGCTCTCCTCATGACCAAGCAAACTGTGTTTATCATAAATCTGTCATGGTCAGTGTTAGTGAATCTGCACTATAAGGGATTCAGACCCTCAACAGTAGATCCTCTCTTCTCTCTCTCTCTCTCTCTCTCTCTCTCTCTCTCTCTCTCTCTCTCTCTCTCTCTCTCTCTCTCCATTGTTGATCACTCTTTCTTCTCTCAAGGTTCTTACCTGTATGTCCTTCAACCTTTGTCAATTCTCAACTGAAACTTGTTGAAACGTCTTTGTGCTTCAAGGTTCTGGCTCTCCTAGTGGCTCTGTCTGCTCTTCCCCAGGGCTAAATTTCATATAACGGTCTCAGTTAATGTCTTCATGTAACTTTGCTGTCTGTTCTGGCCATTGGCTATAGGACATGTCCATCTAAATCACACTAAATCCTACTATTGTCTTGGGCTTCCTGAAAACACACGATGAACATGCAAGTCTCAGGAATTGCTCTAGGAAGCAACATCTGAGGAACTGCAAGGATGGCAGCATTTGGGGTGGAGCAAAGCCTCAACTCCCCTCTGAGGGGAGCTGAAGCTGATAGTCCTTTGGTATCTTTCCTAGTAGAAGGTGGAGCCTTTATATCCTCATGTTGATCTGCAGTGGATACAGTCACTGTTAGAAAGGGACTTGGCTTGAGTAAGGTTGGTTGTAGGTACTTAACTTCACTTTAACTGTATCTATAAACTTTCCTAAATATATTACTTCTCTTATTTTCTTCCATTTGCTGTCTTGTTCCCCCATTCATGCCAGACCCAAGAGACAGAGGGATGGGGTCTGGGCCTCATTCGGATCTTACTAGCAACTAATCCAATTTCGGTGTCTCCCAATCTATGTTTTTCTCACTTTTCCCCATTCCACTTCTGACCTGCCATGGGGGACTCTCATGCAGATTCAGTGGCTCTTACACCAACATCTACAATAGCCACTTTCCATATTTTGTTGTTATTATAATGATGATTTTGAATGTACATATGCATGGGGACAGTAAGTAGTGATACCTGTACATTGTGTGAACTGATCAGACAGGGACAATGAACATTTACATCACATTATTGTTATTTTCTATTTGGACACTTAAGAAGTTCTTCTGGTTATTGATAACTATGTACTAGCTTCTTACAAACTGAGCTGAAAATTCTAGCACTTATTATATTATCTGAGTTAGTATCTCTGTCTCTTCCCCTCCCAAGCCTTCCCAGTCTAGTAATGACTATGCCTGACAAATCACAACCGTGGCAAAGAATTTCACCAGTCTGGTACAAAGCCTACAATGTAACTTGGTCAGGGCTTCCGCTGCTCTGCAGAGACACCATGACCATGGCAACTCTCACAAAGGAAAAAATTTCATTGAGTTGGTGGCTTCCAGTTCAGACGTTCAGTCCATTGTCATCATGGCAGGGAGAAGGCAGACTTGTGCTGATGCTGACTACATTGGTGCAGGAGGTCCTTCTGTCTTTTTGCTGCTTTCATTGGTTAATAAGGAAACTGCTTTGGGCCCTTGATAGGGCAGAAGTTAGGTAGGTGGGGAAAATTAAACAGAATGCTGGGAGGAAGAAAGCAGAGTCAGGGAGAGCCACCATGGAGCTGCCAGAGTCAGACATGCTGAATCTTTCCCGGTAAGCCACTGCCATGTGGCCATATACAGATTAATAGAAATTGGTTAAATCAAGATGTGAGAGTTAGCCAATAAGAGACTAGAGCTAATGGGCCAAGTAGTAATTTAATTAATACAGTTTCTGTGTGGTTATTTTGGGGCTAAGCTAGGCGGGCAGCTGGGACGAACAAGCAGGCCCTCCTCCCTACAACACTACATCTTGATCACAAGGCAACAGAAAAGGGTCTGTGATACTGGGTGGTACCTTGAGCAAAGGAAACCTCAAAACCTATCCATCAGCGACACACTTCCTCCAACAAGGCCACACCCACCCCAACAAAGTCACACCTCCTAGTACTGCTGCTCTGTACTGTTTTCTTCCAAACCACCACACTAGCTGTTCAGAAATGTTGGTGTGCTTTTGACCTAAGCTCTCGCCATGTTTCTCATTGTGCTGTGCCTCCCATTCCACTCCCTTGCACTTGAGACTGTCCATTCAGCTTCCAGGTCTTCGCTCAAGAGGAAAAGCTACTGTGGAATCCTTCTTGGCTGTTTTTTTCCCTTTGGGGGTGACCCCATTCTTTAAATTTATGTATGACTTTAGTGTGTTCCAACATACTATTAACTTTATAACTGCAATCTTAATTGCATTTTGTAGCCATGTCTATCTGCACATTTGTATTCTCCCTGAAGGCAGACACAGTAGCTGATTTGTTTCTGGACACTGCGGAAGAAACCACATTAATTCCCAGGGAGTGAAAATGCGTTGCTAACATCAGGGAAAATCTGGAAACAGAAATGTGAAAAGGTTTTGTGTCCCTCTCCAGTGAGCCCAACAGCCACATGGAAGAAATGTGCGGGGAGATCTACATGCTGGGTCCATAGGAGGAGAAGGTACGGAAGAGGAAGGGGCTCAGCAGAGGGCTCTCCAAGAACAGCTGCCCACGGGGAAGAGTCTGCCAGAGACCAGTGGCCTCTGCCTGCTGTGTGAGTCCGGACATGGGGCAGACACTGTCCAGGCCCTGAGGACATGGGAAGAGACAGGAGGAGAGAGATGATGGGGAATCACAGAGGAAAAGAGGTCTCAGGGGCTCCCTGTTGTGGAATATTATTTTCAGGTACGTGATTTTTGTTTACGCTGCATTTGTTTTAACTCTGTGAAGCTGTGTTACTGCACCTGTCTAAAACACCCGATGGTCTAATAAAGAGATGAATGGCTAATAGTGAGGCAGGAGAGAGGATAGGCGGGCTGGCAGGTAGACGGTATGAACATGGAAGAAGGGGAGGAGGTTGCCAGGGGCCAGCCACCAGCCAGGCACGGAGTCAGAGTGAAAGTGAGATTACAGAAGTACGAAAAGGAAAATGCCTAGAAGCAAAAGATAGATGGGATAATTTAAGTTATGAAAAGCTGGCAAGAAACAAGCCAAGCTAAAGCTGGGCATTCATAACTAAGAATGAGCCTCTGTGTGTGATTTATTTTGGAGCTAGGTGGCAGGGCCCCAAAGTAACAAGGGTAAAACATCGCACTATTGAGATCGAAGCAGTTTTGACTGAAGAGACAGCTCAAGCCAATCTAGAAATAGGTAGATTAGCTGGTACAGTGTGGTAATAATAACGAAGATGAAGGTTGTTTGTTCTTAGGTCCAGGGCTGGGTGGGCTATCCGAGCAAAAATCCAGCCTGGTTTCTTTAGCTTCCTCCTAGGCGGATCTGCTCTTCTGTCATAGTTAACGAATGCTACCCTCTGACTCTCAAGTCTCCTTATTTATGTGATAAATTATAGTTGACCTTTTTTAAGTCTCTACTACAGCCCAAGCGGGTTACTGTAGTGCAGGTATAAAGACCTGTATTCTTGGACTTTGGTAGAAAGATGAGCTTCGAAATTAGAATGAAAATGTAGCAAATGATTTAAAGAGTAGCTTTGTAATCTGTTTTGAGATTTTGGCGGGTGTTTAGAGATAGGGTTTCTCTGTGTAATAGTCCTGGCTGTCTAGGAACTTGCTTTTAGACCAGACTAGCCTTTAGCTCTGCCTCTGCCTCACAGGTTCTGGAATTAAGGGCGTGCACCACCACTGCCCGTCATTTTGAGGATGTAAAAATGAATGTATTTTAAATTACAATTCACATGACAAACAGAAAATTGTAAATTTTTATCTGCAAAGTCTTGGGTTTCTGTGCTATGGACTCTGCCTTTTGTGTTGTTTAGAATATAATAATTTCAGGCAAACAATAGTATCTTCATGCGGTTGGATGACTTAAAGGTGAGTTTGTCTCCTTTGAGATGTTCTCCAATGTGGTTGCTGCATCTCATGGTAGAAGGAGCAAAGGATGGACGTGAGAGGGGTCAGGCTCTTAGCAGATAACAGGAAAATAAGTCAATTAGTTCTCAGACCCCTTAGACCCTTTTCATCTTGTGGAAAGAGATGCTGTCATCTGTGACCTCTCATAGAGATGTGGTCAGGAACAAATAGCAAACAAAAAAAAATCTTTTAAGAACTGTACAGTCGAGCAGAGAAAAATCATATAGCTCAATAAAAACAATAAAAATAAACAATAAAATTTAAAAAACAACAAAAATTTAAAAAATAAATCTGTTCTTTGTGGGGGGAAAAAAGAACTATACAGTTAAGCTGGGTGTGATGACACATGCCTTTAATCCTAGTATTTGGGAGATAGAGGCAGACAGATCTCTGTGAGTTTGTGGCCAGCCTGCTCTACAGAACAAGTTCCAGGGCAGCCAGGGCTACACAGAGAAACTGTCTAAAAAAAAAAAAAAAACCAACCAACACCACCAACAACAAAAAGAACTGTACAATTTAAGTGTGCTAAATGCTCTTTCTAAAAAGAAAGAAACTCCAGGTGAAAGTTGATAATTAACTCGATTATTTTTATACAACTTGCAAATGTATTTCGTAAAATCAAATATATGAAGAAGAGCTGGAATAAAATCATGGACTTCTTGTAGAAATTGCCTTGTGACATGAAAGACAGAGCAACTAGAGAATCAAGGGCCTGCTGAGAAGATGAAGTCGTTCTGGAGACGAAGCCTTTAGTTATTGTTTCTATGTGTTTTATAATAAACCACCAACCTGGTCATCACAGGTCAACTGTTTTCTAGATGAACTCGCCGGCCAGTGACAGAGGGCTGTCTCTGGTTAGAGAACAGATGTTCATCATCTGTCTTTCACATCAAAATTCTGTGGGAACTTTTGAAAACAGTAGACAGGTGTTAAGGAGACTCGGTTAGCTCTTGACGAAAAGAAAACATATCTCAGAGCACCAGTTTCCCTAAAAGTAGGGAGCGTTACAACTTACGTGGGAGAGGCAAACTTCCTAGCAAACCTTCCACTATTGGTGAAGCGCACAGGACCCTGTGAGCTTTACATTCTGTTCAGATTACTTAATTCTAATTTTGAAATGCTGCAAAAATATTAAGAATGTCACATGTATATTTTACGAGAACATGCTTTGTTTGTCATATAAAAAGTGATTCTTCAAACAATAAACTCAACTTTGTTTAAAGAAAGGAGCAATTTAATTTCACCTGCAAATGGTAAACTGAAGCTGAAAATATTAGAAAAAGAACACAGGCTTCTGTAAAAAATGAATGAACATTTGTAAGAAAATGGCTATTTTTTTAATTCACCGAAAAGTCGAGGGCCTAGGACATGTGTTAGGAATGTCACAAACATTGTGACAGTCAGTCGGGTATTTATAAGGTGGTAAGGATAACTCACACGTCCACCTTTCCTTGCAGGAAGATATTAGCCACTTCAGCTGGAAATGATGTTGGGCAGAAGTCTACAGATACCTACAGCCCTTTCCCTCCCTACCCCATCCTCCCCTGCCCTCCCCCATGCTCCCCACCCTTCCCCACCCTACCCCATCTTTCTCCTCCCTCCCCCCTCCCCTTCCTCCCCCATCCTACTCACCCTTCCCTGCCCTACCCTCCAATCTCTTGGTCAGTAAGCCACTTGTCTATCTAGGTCACTGGGAAGGGGTTTCCCAAGTCAGCTGACCTTCAGTCAGGGTGATTAGCCAAAGAGGTCTAATCTAGTCATAGAGAGCCCTTTAAAAGATGAATGCAGAAATCAAGAGAGTGGATGCTAGAGAAGGACAGGGCTTCTCACGCTGCTGTGGAGATGTGGGGGTCATGAGTGTGGAGCCCCGGGAGCAGAGGATGGATCTCAGCTGATGGGCAGTAGGAAAGTGATGATCTCAGTACTATGGTCAGAACAAGTGAACTTTTGTTGCTGTTGCTTCCATTTTCTGAGGCAGGGTTTTCCTATGTGAGTCAGGCTGGCCTAGAGCTGCCAGGATGTAACCTAGGCTGGTCTCATATTCACAGTGTTTCTGCCTCAGTCTCTGGATGTTGGGATTATAGACATCCACCACCATACCTGGCTTATGAATTCCTCTCTCTAAAGTTTTTACCTAAGAATTAAGCTTGGCCAGCACCTGAATTTTGTACTTATGAGACCCGAAGCAGAGAGCTAACTGAGCCACTCCAGACGTCTGAATTCTAGACTGTGAAATAGTATGGAGATTGTCTTCTTAGTGGCTCACTTGGTGATTAATTTGTTATGACAGCAATAGCAAACTTATAGAGAAGCTTGGGGTCCTGAAGCAAATGAGCCATCAATCTAAGGTTTAGTCCATTCAGCTTCGCTGCAGAGGGGAACTGGGAGCAGGGCGAGCAGGTGCATCAGAAGGCGTTCATCCCCGAGTTCCAGTCACCCACTCATCTGCCAAGGCAGTGTTCCTGCCTCCTTTCATACGGAAACTGCTTTGCTGAAGAAACATGGAGATGGGGAGCACCTTTCTCAAAGTCTCCACAACTGAAGAGTTTGGAGATAACCAAATGGACCAATGCAGGGTAGTATGTCTCTCCAGCACCGTCAGGCTAGCTAATTAGGCTGGCTCACAGGGCGTTCTTCCCATGTTGCCTGTGGTAGGCTGTAGAATAGTCTCCAAGGATGTCCCAGCCTCTGGAACCCAGGACCGTATTGTAGAGTGTAGAGGAGAAACTAAGGCGAAAGTGGAATAAAGGTTAGAAGCGCTTCAGGTTTTCAAAGGTGGCCATCAGAGGTGGATGGGGAGTGATTACCAAAGGGACCCAGCTGGCTTGTGAGGTGCTAAAATATAATAGGTTATTGTCATGGTTTCAAAACAAATCACTGTTTTTGAAAGAAAAATATAATCATATAAATTATAGCATAATAGGCTTGAGTTAAACTCTTTCTCAAAAGAAAGAAAGAAAGAAAGAACGAAAGGAAGGAAGGAAGGAATGAATAAATAAATAAATAAATAAATAAATAAATAAATAAATAAATAAATTTGTCATGGTTTAAGCAAGGGACTTATCAGTGGGATTTCAAGAAAATGTGCCCTAGGTTTGATTCCTAGTGTGTGTGCGTGTATGTGCATTCTCTCTCTCTCTCTCTCTGTCTCTCTCTCTGTCTCTGTCTCTTTCTCACACATACACCATACACACATTCTCACACTCACAGTTCACACACTTTCTTACACACATACCTCATACATACCACACACCACATGCCCTGCGCTCTTTCTCACACACCCTCTTTCTCATACATGCACAACACACACCTCATACACACACTCTCTCACACACACTTTCTCATACATACACACCCCACACCACATATACTCTCTCACACACCACACACACACTCTCTCTTTCTCATATACACACCCCACACACTCTGTCACACACACAGCACATACGCACTCTTTCTCACACACCTACCTCACAACACTCTCACGCGCCACCTCCCTCTTTTTCACACACACATTCTTGCACATACCACACACACCACATTCTCTCTCTCTTACACACACACACACACACACACACACACACACACACACACACACACCACAGAGAACCTAAACAAGAAGCCTTGCGTGTGAAGCCATTCAATGACTGTTCATTCACTGGCGTATACATTCCCTTATCTGGTTTACCAAATCAATGGAAAACTTTAGAAAGAACATTTTACTTAAATCTACGAACCAAGAGATGAACTTAAGAGGCTGGAGAGGAGGGGGACACGATCTTCTATCGTC